TCAACTCGACCTTGACTTGCACAAATCTACCGTTACCCGCTACTTACGCTCCAACAACAAGTTTGAGTTCATTAAGATGAAAAAAGCCCCTAAACTCACCCCCATGCACATGCTTCGTCGCAAAGAATGGGCATCTGAAATGGTCGACTACGGAAACGAAAAGTGGAGCTCGGTTGTCTTCTCCGATGAGAAAAAGTGGAACCTGGATGGCCCCGATGGTCTCAAGTCGTATTGGCACTGCGTTGGACGTGATGTCAAAACAGTTTTCAGTCGTCAAAATGGTGGCGGCTCGCTCATGGTGTGGGGGGGTATTTGGGCAGATGGAACGACTCGATTGGCGTTCGTTGAGGGAACACAAACAGCCCAAGACTACATCTACACGCTTGGCGAGTTCATGTTGCCTGCAGCCCAGCTTCGTTTTGGCACTGATTTCGTTTTCCAGCAAGATAATGCAAGCATTCACACTGCCAACGCAACAAAAGCTTTTTTGGATGAACAAGGTGTTGTGGTTATGGACTGGCCAGCGTTGTCTCCCGACTTGAACCCCATCGAGAATATTTGGGGATATCTTGTTGAGCAAGTGTATGCTGGCGGGAAGCAGTATGACACGAAAGAAGAGCTCAAAGCCTCAATTATGCGTCATTGGAACTCGTTGGAGGTTTCGTACCTTCAAACTCTGATTTTTAGCATGAAATCGAGATGCCTGAGTGTTGTTGCGGCTAACGGAATGACAACTAAATACTAGTAATGGATTTGCGTGTGAATTATCGTATCAATTCTTTTATTATCGTGGGCGAACTGATGGGGTTGTTCAGTGGTTATAACCTTTTAGGTCGGTGTAAAAACGTATTTTTTTTCACTCCTCACTCAATATTTTGAACTTTATTGCAATTCAAAGCTAGAAATGCTTGTTTTTAGTATACAAATCTGGGCATGTTTTTGGATTAATTTAATTTTCAATACTTTGGAAAAAAATTGAGAAAAACATGGTGGTGATAACCTTTCGCGTCGGACTGTAATATAACTTATACTAGTAATACTCCACCCGTCAGTCTTATACTGTATAAGACAGACGGGAGTTGCTCAAAGAACACAGTTTTTTATTATTACTACTAATAATACCTTGAAGTTCGAGTAACGTTATTAATAATATTCACAGCGTCGTCCAGTATTTTGGAGCGAAACGGTAGGAGGTGGAGACAAGCATGGACTGACGACTGTGTGTGAGTTTCGACGACAGATGTGAGGAACACACACGCAACTGGGTGGATAAAAAGTTAACGTAAAAAGACTTGGACGACCCAATTACACGCTAAAGATCTTGGACTTTTCAGCGTTGAGCGAGGGCGTGAGCGGGCCAGAGCCGAGAAGGTTTGGCGCTTTGTGGTCGGGGTGGGGCACTTCTGGCGTCACAAGGTTGTCGGGTTTGTCGCCTGACTTGCGCGAGTTCTTCTTGCGAATCGCCATGAACGCCACGGCGGCGACAGCGGCAACGCCCACGACACCGACAGTGATACCTACGGTGTTGGAGCTGAACTTGATATCGTCCTTGGTAGTTGGCACGGCAGCAGCATCCGAATGGACCACCGCTTGGTGAACTTTCTCCCCCTCTTCGACTGGGTGCTTCGCTTCGCCCACTTGGTCGTGTTCGAACGGGTGGTACGTTATGCGCACTTGGTCGGGTTGCACGGGGTCTTGACCTTCGCCCTCTTGGTTGGGTTCGAACGGGTGCTTCGATTTGCCTCCTTTGACGGGCTCGAATGGGCGCTGCGCTTCGCCCACTTGATCGGGTTCGAACGGGTGGTGCGATTTGCCTCCTTGGTTGGGTTCGAACGGGTGGTGCGATTTGTCTCCTTGGTTGGGTTCGAACGGGGGGTGCGGTTTACCCTCCTGGTCGGGTTCGGATGGGTGGCGCGATTTGCCCGCATGGTCGGGTTCGAATGGGAATGGGCGGTGCGACTTGCCTGCGGGGACAGGTTGGAACGGGTGCTTCGCTTCACCTACTTCTTGCACGGGTTCTGCTCCTCGTTGGGGCACGCCAACAGCGTCCACTCCAGATCGCGGCGCACCCATGTAGCCGCATACGAAGCCGGCAGAGCGTTCCACGCAGTGGGTGTCGACCTTGAGCACGCATCGGCCTTGGTAGGTTCCCGTTGGATGGAAACTTGGGGCGTCTTCGGTACATTTGGCTTCGGCGTGGGTGTTCGACGTCGGGCATTCACCTGAGTGAGTGCTGGTGCACACGTTCGAGGACGCGAAGCAGAAGCGCGCGTCACCTTCCACGTCCACGCACGGGTCTTGCGCCCATCGGTGGTTGGTGCTGGTGGCACATACGGCGACGGCGGCGACAAAGACTACTCGCATCATGACAGACACCTCGGACGTTGTTTTAGAGAATGGACCGCATCACGAGGAGTTGGATTTGTGCCACATGTGCGTGATGAAGAATCCATACAGTTACACATTCAACGGGCCAGCATACAAACATCAAGTGACTTGACTGGATATGGGACCTTTAGGGGTAGAAATGCGAAGGAGGAGCGACACGACACGACCAACTTGAATGGTAAAGACATACAGTATGCTCTATCAATGTTGTTGCAACGGCCGACGACGTTTAACGTGTAAAGCGATGCAGTGTACTGTGTTGCCTTCGTGTTGATGGTATACCGAGTGTATACTGGCTCACTGAATTGTTACCGTATCCTTCAGTGTACATGGTCAATCGATGAGATCCCCCTAGATTGAACTGGGTTCAATGCAATCAATGTGTATGATCTGACGTCACGTTAATGTATTGCAGTGTTGATACTGGGATTCTCTTACCATGCGTATACTACGTGATGACAACGCTTGAAGGTCAAAGTCCCTTTCAATAGCACCAGTTTCTGTACATTGGAGAAGAGTTATACTAGTATATATTATGTAAACGTCCAAAAGTCTCCATATTATGATGGACAATGCATCAAGTCGTCGTGTCAACCCTCCTATTGCATTTGCCCATA